TCACATAATCAAATAACCCATGAGGAGGCTCGATCATGTAAAGTAAAATGCAGAACATTTTTAATACAACTAAAGGCAGGATTACAATGTTTAAATAATCCATATGATTCAAATCTTGTAAACCTTTGGCATGATCAGTTTGTTTTATTTCTATACTTTGTGTAGACTTCAGGTAGTTTAGATTGCAAATATTGTTGTATACTTGTCTGTCCCGTAAGGAGGCAATTAAAAGTCAAATATGGATTTATATATGCTTATAAAACATGCATTTTTAATAAGATATCCATAACCTATTTATAGAACGCAGACTGCTGCAAATAATTATAGATAAGATCAAACACAAAACACAATATTTTCTGATTTATGTGATCAATACAAGAAGTAAATCACATATGATTGGATACAATTATAAATTTGAAGAATGTTCTAAGAGCTCAAGATCAAACCCGGCAGGCAGAGGATCATTAATGTCTATAACAGAAAAAACTAAATTAGAATGTTCTCTAATCTGATAACAACCGTTTGAATGATTATATAGTTAAATAGTGATGATCTGTGTGTCAACTAATTATAAACAATGACAATTGTTTTGACAAACCGAGAAAAATGGAGGAATATGATAAATATAAATATATAATAACAAATGCAAATGAATGTTGTGGTTAAGACCCCCTCCCTTACCTTATCCAATCCGTTTATCATACGCATTAAACAAACGAAAAAGCAAGCATCTAATCAACCTCAAGGACGAAAACATACAGAAATGAAACCCATCCCACAAAAAACAAGAAACAAGGCGCACATTCCTTTAATAAGAGTTACAGAATATAATTTTAAAATGTTTCAAAGTGACTTCATTTTTTAAAACCGTTCACTCCAAAAGCAAAGCAATAATGCATTTAAGGTTTACATAATTACATAATCAAAGTACTGGAGTACTGAACATCAGACGATAGCAAGTTCTTGTTGACGGTCACAAGCACTTGTCTCAGAAAAAAATCTCATCTCTATACCTGAAAGTGAGATTAATGTACAGAGATATATTTTTTTCTGAGACAAGTACGTGTATGATGAATAAATGACAGGGAATTCAACCTCACCGTAATAACTATTATATTGTAATGATAAAAATTAGTATACTCTGGTTTGTTGTTAAATATTATATTAATATTTGTATATAACAGTTACATGACTTGTATATATAATTTTCATCCATTTGTATATCATTCTATTCTACTATTCTAACAATAGTGCAGTGCAAGTGCATGGTGGACTCTTCTGTAATAATTCGATTTTTTCTTATAGATCGCATTTGAGTAGGCATTCATATTTTCCCGCAAAACGTTCTTGAGATATTCTTCCGCATGCGTTAACACCATTTTTTTCTGTACGTGTGCATAGATATTAATTATATATATATTTCTAACGACAAAACATTTTCATATTATTAATTTATGTTCTAAAAAAATATTTTTATGAGTATTCATTGAAGGAATGAATTTACAACAAGCGATTAGGAATGTTATTTTGCACTCGATAATGTCCACGTATTTATACGATCGGTTACCAGTCAAACACGAAAGTCAAATCTCTGTGGCAACAATACATCGGAATGCGCTCATGGTCATCGCGAGGTAAAAAGAAATATCAGAAATTGCCCAAATTCCGCATAGTATAACAGACCACATCAACCACAAACATGAAGTCTTTCATAACAAAAATACTACAAAGTGTATAACATGAATATTTGTGTATTAAAGAACATATATAATGGATTATGTGATATCACAAAAAAATATTTACACAATTTGATGGAAGTGAAGTAAATCATTATGTGTAACATAATATCGTCAAACAGATAAAAGGGGGTATATTTTAATAATCAATGCATGTACGTATGAAAATAATCTGGCAAATGTACATCTGGAAATGAAAAGTAAAAATTGTCCTTCAGAGTTATAAATCTTAAGAGTGAAAAGAAACATGATTATATTGACATTTGTATACTTATTGTCACAGTATTTGCTATTTTGACCGAATAAGGCTATTAAAGTTAAAAATTGGACACTATACCAGTAAATGAAATGAAATTTTCGTCACCCATTTCCGAACTCCCAAATACACTATGTCTACTATTTCACGAATTGGATTATGCATACGGAGACTATGGAAACGTATAAATCATTTTTACATATTTTATAAAAGACTTACCTAATGCTGTGATGGCTTCATTACTCACAGAGGTGCTACTTTATTGTTAAAATCACACAATTATATGCGTTATTAAAGGAGACAATTTACAGTTTGCACAATATTATATAAATCAAGGTTACCTGTATTCCCATATGTTATTGCTGCAAGTGCTGTTTCGAATGTTATGACGATAAAATGCTTAAAGTAATTAATTTTATGTTATTAATAATGTGTAAAAACATTGAAGACATTATGTACTTAACAAATTACGTATACTATACAACGAACGTCCATGTAACGCACCACATCTTTTCTAGCTACAGAGAGTGGCCAGCAGTATCGTAAATATAGCTGTTGTACGATAGAACAATAGCAAAAATATCCCGAAATATTCCCCGATTTAGGTGACGTCACTGTTAACATTTAATTATTATCCGAACCTTAGGAATAACGATACATTTTCTATTACATTTTGATTAGATGATTGTGCTGGACAGACAATATTTTAAGGCGAGATCTTGCCTTAAGAAGAATGAGCTTTGTGTTTTAGCGGATTGTCTTCCTGAAAAAAAAATCATTAAAGGAAATTGTTGAACAATTACGGGACAAACGAATCACACTGAGTGTTCATATAAAAATATGTATCCACGTTAACGTATCCCTAAAACGTTGAAAATGTTCCAACACATCGACAGCGGATAGATCCTTACACCACAATGTTCGATCACTTCTTCCTTGCACTAAGTCCGGTCTCCCGCCTTCCTGTCTCTTATTCTATACATATACATGCCTGTACCGCTGTAAAACAATAGACTCTCATCGCTTTATACTACTGGTTTTGAGTTGTCCAGCACCTGTTCCCCATACACCACAAAATACATTTCCGAATGTCAAGCTTGAGCGCAAATTTCGTCCTATGCACTCCAAGAGAAAATCAATGATCCATCAACATTGTCGAACGGTACGTTCAGAAACTAGAACTTGCCTGTGTTTATTAAGCTTTGCAGTTTTATCAGCTCGTGGATCTTGTACATTTATAACATTCGTTTCCAGTTCCTGATAGTCCCTGTCTAACATGGCGCCAGGACTTTCTGATGTCGGATGATTCTCTTTTATCTAAGCATCTTCAATCTTGATTATGCTAGACATAATTATTCATGTTATTGTAAACTTAGGCTAATGCACTAGTATTGATATTTTATCTCCATCTTTTGTACATTTAAATAGTTATCTAAAGATATATATGTTTAAAGGTTACGTTTTTACAGAGACAAATGCCTATTCCTTTACACAAGAAATACTGTAATAACAAAGATGTATATCATACGAAAATATGATGTACATGTGTATAACCACGTGACACAACACCTTTTTTATTAGAAGAAATATCGATTTCCGTTGATGTTGAGAAAAATGATAAAAAAATTACGTTTAAAGTTTAATGTCTAGGATTAACATAACCATATTTGACGAATACCTTAATTGGTGATCGCTTGCCATCCGATAGTAAAACCCATCCTTAAGAAGGGCACTCGTTTTAATCTCCTGGATGTGTAAATACGCAGCCACGTACAATAAAAACACGGGACACGTTAAGGGAGAGTGTCACGGTCTCTTCACACACTTGCTTCAACTCTGCTTTAAGCGATACTACCCACACTGTCCATCATATCACAAATTTTAATTGGGAGTCGAAATTCTCGCACTTTATGCGACTCGTTCAATTTTACAGAGCCTATAGATTCAATTTACTGTTAAGTTATAGTCCTGAATATATAAAATGGTTAATTTCATCATCTTCCGTTGGTCTCTGGTGAAAAGTTGCCAGACGTATCCACCGTGGTAAATACAGTACTGTTCAGACAATTCGCTTGCAGTCAATTAAGATCTGTTCCGTCAATCTTCAGACTGTTCAGTTGCTGTTGTTCACCCTGTACACATAAACATCATACTGATCATTACTGAATTGAGTGCTAGCGAATTATCGCAATAGTGCTGAATTTACTGCAGTGAAGAAAATTGAATCAGAGATAAAATCAATTTGAGTAATCTTTTACAACTCCACAGAGAAGTTCATCTGAAAAAAACTACGGTACATTAATAAGAGATGTGAACTTGTGACCAAATATTTCCAGTAGAGTATACCAGTTCTGACCATATACGACCCAACAAGAGACTGCAGGACAGGGCCAATTTAATCTGCAAAACGACTGTTTATTTAACGACACACTCATGCCAAAACTAGTACTGATGTCATACAACAGCTTGTAGCATGCTTTTATATAAAGTGTATCATAGACTGTTATTTCTCTTTTTGTTCTGGCTATGTTTTTTATCAGTTTCTCTTATTAATGTTTTTATTTTCGAATTGTTTTTTTTATGTCATTGGCTAATATCAAAATGCAAAACAAATTATATGCGTCCTAAGCGCTTTTCTAGATCTACATGATATACCTGCACCAGGAGCGCTCAAAGTCAAATATTTGTAAGCCAACGATACACATACTTTACAACACCAATTGATAGACAGTATCTTTATTTGTATAGATTTTACAGAGAAGAAAGAAACAGGATTCATAGTTCAAATATCCGCCTATCCTTTACGAATACATCAAGTGCATCTAGATTTGGTCTATTGACACAATTCCTTTTTTACTTTCTAATCATATACCTGTTTACATTTGAATTAATGCTTTTTTCCCAGATAATTGATAATCCAGAAAATGTTTCAAAACTTCAAGTTCAAACAATGCATGTATAAATTCTAAACATAATACCAGTAAATATGGCACAATCAAAATCAATCGTTTTGCATTCCAATTTAATTTTATTTGTATTTTTTTTCAAATCTGCAAAGTATGGCATCAAATGCTTTTGAAACACACAAAGAAATAAAAACAAACAATATTCCAGATAACAGTGTACAAAATAGTAGTTCTTAACATGTACAATATGATAAGAGAAATACTGAGATTTACTAGAGTGCTCAAACAGTTTAAAGAAAACGAGTATGTTATTTTATCTTAATGTGCAATCAGTATAGAATTAAAACAGTGAATTGAAGACAAACATAACTTCATATTTAAACATGCTAAAGATAAGCTGAAAAATATAATATCTGCAGTTATAGTTCAGTTAATATTATTATACATGTTTTTACTAGAAATGTTAAAATGACACAAATTAACAGGGTACACTTTCAATGAACACCAGACTCTTTATAGCAGCACGTCAATAAATACTACTGTTCGTGTGTAAATAAAATTCATATATTATTAATAAAAAAATTCTAGTATCTTAAATCTTATAAAACATATAAAAAGGAAAACAGGAATAACAAAAAAATAATTGAACAGGAAAAAAAATCAATACTAAGCACAAACGCCCAAGAAATAAAACTCTAAAAATACATACAATAAACGGACAACATATAATCCATATAGCCTGATTTGGTACAGGTACAATATTAGGTGGGATCAAACCAAACTAATTGCAAATGTGCTCAAACTTTGCCTTTATATATACAATATGTTAACAGTAATACACACAGTTGAAAAAATGGAAAGTACAGCAACCAACCAGTCTAGAGTTATTGAACAAGGATATTAATTACAGTACATGATAAGTCAAATTTTACTTACTACTAAATAAAGCTAACTGTACATATAGCGATGGCTGCAGGTTAACAACTGTCGTTAACGACAAGACATAACCAGAAACAGATTTTTCACTGATCCCTTTAAAGTGACATAAAATTTAATGAATTAGCAGTAATAGGGAAGACTAAAAAGGTTTTAAAATCGTCAGAACTTTCTGATAAAATATAACTGATTTACTCAAAATATCACAACCTTAAGTTTTGCTGTTGAAAGACGTCTTTCCCAAATTTAAAGAAATAAGTTAATTATTAACCCATTGGCCGGAGACATAATTTGTTGTCATACTAAAACGAGGTCATATGTCCCTATCTCTGTTTTGCCAACATATTACGAGATATAGTTGTCCCTAACGTTGTGAAAAGGTTAATGTCAACACAGAGGGTAGAATAAGAAATACGTAATATTGAGATTCACTGGAATGTCAACAGGAAACGTGTTTTGAATAAGTAATGTGAACCAGATATACGTTGACGATCATGTAATATCTGGTAGTTAACAAATATAAATGTGAAGAGAAGAAATTCATTAATTCAACATGTTTGGATGATACGTTGAATATATGATAAATTAACGACTTTCCCTTAGGTTCAGTGAATACTAGTTGGTCCTTATATATTTTTCTACGTATTTTCACCGTATAGAGAACAAAATGTATGTCATTAATATACCAAAGGCAGAGCTTGCTTCAAAAGCCTTTTTCCGAAATTTAAGATTTACAAAATCTAGAGCTTCTGGCTGTTATGTATAGTAACGTGCTTTCTAAATTTGTGGATTTAAAGCTAATCCATTGTAGTTTTGCATTACCTCAATTCTAAAAGGTGTAATACCACCAAATCATAGTACGTCACATCCTTTTGCATACGAAAATAGGTCGAAAAAAATATTCCCTTTGCATTTGACAGTTGTGGGTAATTGATCCTACATTTATTTATTTTTATTTGGGGTTTCTATAGAATATTTTGGAAACTTGAGGTTACATGGTTACTAAAGCTTGTACACAGGTTAAAAAGGGGGGAGGGATTTGATTGGTTAACTTTCAGTGATGGTTATTTTCTTATATGCAATGAAATGTTATGTGAAATTTTTTCTATAGTACTAGACAGGATAAAACTTTACTAATGCCAAGTATTTCTTTATTTGAAACGAAGATACATTCTGCACAATTTTTTGAAAAGTGCAAATTTAACAAATACTAATAAGAGAAAATCAATGGTGGTATTACACCAAATATGGGAAGCTGTACATGCACCTTTGACCTTGTGAATACTTTGAATGTGTTAAAATTTCTTGCTATTTAAGTAAAATATTACAAATAATGAATAGTCTGAGTGGATTGAGTCTCCAAACACATTTTATGAGAAAATGTCCTTGAAATAGGACTTTACCAAGAATATTAGTTGACAGAACAAGCCATACTTAGAGGCTTGGGGAGCTTTTTCTCCTTATTTCTTATATTCTGCTATAGTAGAAAATTTTTCCTAAGAAATACTGTAATAAATATATAGTTTTAAGTAAATGAAATTATTTTTAAAGCAGTAACAACAAATCATTCACCAAAAGAGAAGCTTTTTATGTCCCTCTCTGGAACGCGGCGTAAATTTAAGTTTTACGTAAGGACTTATTGAAATCTCCTTGAAGACAGTAAACTTTCATACGGATAGTTCATTTAGCTTGAATACTTCAATTAATCATTTATAATAACATTTCTATCATAAATGAGTGAAAGTTACCCCAAAAATTTTATTTATTGGCCTAAAAAGTAGAAATTGTGATGAAATGAGAGGTATAAATGGACCAAAAGAGACCTTATAAGGAAGACAAAGAGGTCTATTAGTAGTATTTATCACCATAAAGTCATCTTTTGTATCATATTCAACTATTTGTAGGTAGATGAGATAAATATTTGATCAGTTATTGGTCCACACATTATTCTATCATGATGCGGCTTGGTTTGGATTTTTCGAAGAAATTTTGCTCGAATCGCTGTAGATGTCGTCTTACATTATACTAGATTTTCTCAAACTATTGAAATGATTATGACAAAACTTGACAGGAATGCTTGAAATAACCAGTATTACAAAGGAAATAAGTCACATTCAGTTTATTTAACAAAAAAATCTTCTTTAAAAGAAACAAAAGAGGAAACATTAAATAGAAAAGTTCAAATGTGAGCAAAATTATTTACCTGTCCTTCTTAAATGTTTGGCTTTTATCTTTTCTGAAAAAATAAAAATCCCAAAAAGCACTTTGAACGCAAAATGTATCAATAGCCTTTTTTGTTGTATTGTAAAAACTAAATAAGCATGGACGGATAATACACACTTTAACTATCTTATCTCTTCTCCTCCAAACAATTTCATATGCACATTCACCTAATTAAGAGCATTGCATATCTTATCTGTTAAGTTTTCAATGACTTAATTTGTAATTGAATGTCATTAAGTTATTATTATTACTGTTGTCATTTAATGTATACAGTAATATGCTCAAAATAGACCTGTATATATTCCGAAGATAAAAAGCCACAAATCAAGGTTAGCAAAATACAATAAAATAAAGGAGAAGTTTATCAATCTATAAATATATATCAGGAAAAGTATAATGAAATAGAATAAACAACATACATGAATCCAATTTGTTTGAAAAGTATTCAATTAATTATCAGGTTTACATATATACATATATCAAAAAAAGTAAAATAAGATTTGATAAACCAACACTAATGCATCCAATTTCTTTGAAAAGTATTCAATTATATATTAGGTGTATAGATATACAAATATCAAGAAAAGTCTAATAAGATAAAATAATCCAACACAAATGCATCCCATTTCATTTGAAGGCTGCTATTCCTTTGCGGATGATTTTGTTCTCATTGGTAGACCATTTAACTATAGGTAGGACAACATAATCTACTTCTAACCCATCCGTGCTGTAAGAATCGTATAATTGTGGATGAGACTCTTTTGGTATTGTGGTTGATATGAAAACACGAGGATTTCGAGTAACCATAAACCAAGAGAGTGACAGGTCGTCTGTTATATAGGTATGCACAGGCTCACTCGTCCTATGCTCCTGATATTCACTATATTCTCGCAAAAACATCTGGAGAATGAAAAAGCAGACAAAATATCCTTACAAACACCAAACCTTTTATTTTACCAACTTATTCATTTTTCATAAATTATATAAACATTCGTTAAATTGATAGTTTTTTTCTAACAAAATAGCATGCTAAAACATGGGATAAAATCTAATTATCATGTTAATATGCTATAATAATTGACCTCATTCAAGCTGTAATCATAGTACAAAATCTAAAAACATATAACTAAAAATTCAATGAAAATGGTTGTTTCGTTAACATATCAGACGACTGGAAGTAGGCCTAAATAGGAAGCAGGCAAGGCTCTTCATAAAGAGTTATTATATCGTGTGGCACGTGGAGCACTCCACAAAATCTTATCTGTCCGGGTATGCATATGATTTTGATAACTTAAATATCATAGGACTCTTACTCTCTCACCCAGTAAAGTATACGTATTATGAAAATCACGAGGAAGTTATACAAGTATGAGAAATTTTTCGCATCAACAACGGTGAGCAGGTTTGAACCTGATCAAATTAAATTTGAGCCTTAGGATAATAATAAAAATAAGTAATCCATTGACGATAAACTTGACGTTAATGTCTTGTAGACATAGTAGATGTTGTATTGCTGATACTTGTTTCTGTTTGCTTTTGGATTTTATCTACTGTAGTTTACAGATAAGTGCAAACAAGAAGAAGAGTCCATAATACACAATGCATTGCTTGCATTATCTCATTAACGTGTGAAGTGAACTATTACAACGTATATAATGAACATGCCCGGTAAGTTTAAAATTGGAAATAATACGACTTGACATTCAACGAACTAATGGTGTTTTGTTGATTCATTAAATAATTTAAAGTGAATGTTGACACTACAATTGAAGTTATCTGTTTAAACTTTAAATACCTGGTTCATACAACGTTCGAGCCGTTCTAGTATTGATCTCACAAAGACTGTAGTATCAACTACTTCCTGTAATGTTTTTTACATACTTTATAGCAGTTACCATGTTTTTTTTTTTAAAATATACATGTCGCATCATCTAGAATATTATAAAATGTTTAACATCAATAATGCTTTTTTGCCGTACAAGGTGCGTATTTCGACAATTAATTTGCCTTCAGTAATGTTCGATAAATAAATATTTGAAAACCGAAAACCTAATTTTATCAAAGTTGAAATATTGAAATAAATAGAATTCAAAGGAAAAAAAAAGATGCATCCGTTAACAACAATTTAACCAAACTTTTGCTGCAATTCCATCAAATGTCGGTAAATAAGTAGAAACATAAACATTAATCCCAATAAAAAAGGGCTGGGCAGGGCGCCAGTGGAGTTATTTTTTGGTGTTTATGAACAACACTTTGTGAAGCCTATTTTGTTATTGTTCGATTTTCCCTAAATTACTGTGTACACAAGTCAAGTATGATTATTTTGAAAATAAATTTTCAACTTTAAAATTCAAGTCTATTGATACGACACCATCATACAATGGGTATACAAAAAAAAAAACAGTTCGCAGTCTACAGGTATTACAAAACAGAGTTAAACAACTACGCTATCAATTAATGGTTCTCGTGCCGAAATAAAAAAATAAAAATAACGTTTGGCGTCCGATACGCTTTCCTGGATTTATAAATCAGATCAATAGCTGCAGGAATCAAGAAAACCAATTTAGTCAATTATTTGATTTCTGCATAGTTTGACTAACACTTAGATGACGCAAAAGTGCATGACTGACATGGGTAAGACTTCATGCCTGATAAATTATTGGCGGGGCATATACAGTTGTTAATAACATGTTATATTAAAACTTAACCGATAGTCTAGAATTTTGTGAAGTCTTAGGATGAGATAAGAGTCAATTACCAATCCGCTATTGCGTAATGTCTTATCACTTGATATAACATAATTATCAACGTATGTTGTAGGAGTAACACGACGGATGTCATATGAGGAGTAGGATCTGCTTAACTTTCTGGAGCACCTGATTCACCCCTGGGATTTAGGCGGGGTTCGTGTTGCTCAGTCTAAATTTCTTTGTTGTGTTTTGTGTACTGTTCGTCTTTTCGTCGTTTTTCGTTTTTTGCCATGGCATGGTCAGTTTGTTTTTGACTAATGAATTTGAATATCCCTTTGATACAAATGTATCTTTGGCGTCTCTTTAACGTTAAAGTTTGATAATAAAAGTATTTCTGTTATACATGTATAATACGATATAAATCATATACAAATAACTAAGATAAATGATTTTACGCTAAACATTACAAGTAATGTTAAAAGTTAAAACGCTAATTTTACTACTGACGTCCATTACAAACATCTCTTAATGCAAATATAATTTTACAAACATATTTTGATACAAATACAATTCGCACAAACCTTGATATTTGCTGCACCATTTAACATAGCTTGTTCAAATTCATCAGTGAATCTTCCTTCCATACGTTCACAAAACGAGTAAGCGTTCTTAAAAGGAAATTTGATTCAAACAACACATGTAAATATTAAAGCTATAACATGAGTATCGTACTACGATTGATACCACACAAATATTTCTGTTAATTTATTTTAAATTGAGTATCTTAAAACTGACAACCTTTTGTGTACTTCTGAAATATCATGTTAGATAAAGACAGGTTTCGATAGTTCCGAGTCCACTAACAGATATTAATAAATAGAATAGTGATGTTTAAGATTTCAACCTCCCCTCGATCAATAAACCAACAAGAGTAACATTGATTGATATAAAGGAAATATATAGCGGTAAGATACTTCCCCCTTGAAAATGCTGATATAATGGTACTAACCACCAAGCTGATATGACATATTTATTTTCTTAACAACTTGAACCACGTAAAAAATGTAATCGTACTTAGGAATGAATCAATAATGGTCAATCTTGCATGATAGTTATGTATGGAACAGCAACTCTATGTATTTTAGCATTGATTAACTTTTCTTTTAAGTTGTATGTTAGCGCAGATTACAATATAGCAACTCAGTAAAAAGTAAAAACGAAATGAAACAGAAATGAAACAAAACAACACATCAAAACACAATTGTAAACGTAGTTTACGATATAAGGATACTAATACATGTAATATAAACAGAAAAAAAATATATATATTATATACCTCTAATATTTTCAAGAGATATTCAATATTTTTCTTTTTTCCACCATTTTCTCCAAGCTCTATCATTGCTACTTTCCATTTATTTTCATACAGCTCAGATACCCTTTTGGTTACTTCTTCTGACCTTACAAAAGTTAAGAAGACGCACATTGACTATTAAAAAATAACAAGTATATATCATGTTAGTGTCTTATCATTACTTTTGTATCTTTTAACTCTCACAACTTGGATGAAACATGTTTTTATTCCGCCTATTTAAACAAGAGATTATCTTTTGATTAGCTTTTAAAAAAAACTGAAGCCAAAACATAGCATTTAAAACAACCACAAAAATGAAATTCGCCTTAAATGCATGGTAAATTATTGTAATGCAAATCTTAAAAAGATGAAAAGTGCTAAATTGCGTTATTTTGTCTGGTCATTTAAATCAAATCTTTGAATCATATTTTCAACTGATATAAATTGTTAGCAGGAGAACATTCGTTTTTTTTTAATTTTTGTTGTATTTTTTGTGCATTTGTATATGCACAACACTATAGCTAACCAATTAATACTTTTGATTTATAAGTTAAAACAAGAACAGGTAACATGGTTGGATCCATGCAAATCGGACACTAAGTGCTGTATTCAACAAAATAGAAATAAGAAGTTCTGAAGTGTAAGAATGTCGTCAATTGTTATAATTAAAACTAACCAAAAGCTCATACGGTTGCTAACAAGGTAAGTAAAAGAAAAAATATAAGTCTTATCAATAATGCATTTATTCATAAATATAACTAATACCTTTAAGGTTTGTTTCCACGGTTAGGGGCTATGTGAACTAGTTCGTAATATAAACAAATTCAAAATCTATGAACATATATTTAAATCCAGATCAAAATGAAATGTGGGCTCATCAATCTATGTGCTAATACTGTGCTCAGTTTTCACAAATAGAAGTTTACTTGTTGGAATTACAGATGACATAAACTAGAAACAACTTTCCTCTGAATGTGTTACGAGTAAACCCTTTGAATATGAATAATGGAGAATTTTGAGCAAATTTGCGTAATTACCTGCAAGGAAAACATTTTCTAAACGTACATTAACATGTAAAACATGTTAAGGAGTTGAATTAAGTTTCAAAAAGTTAAAAGATAAAATTACTTACTTTTCTGCAAAGAGTTTATCATAATTTACCATAGTTTGAGCTCTGATGATACTGCCTCTTCCAATTTGTTCTAAGGTCTGATCACTTCCTTCTTCTGAAAGCCTGTAAAATTTAATGAGTTAAATCAAATTTAATCATAATGGAAGGATAAATACAAAACTCTAATTTAAACTGTGAAAACAGTCACACATTAGCTTTGTCGTGTGGAATTGACAAATTCTACGGCGGGAAGTAACTGTTTTTAAATGATTTTGTCGTGTATAGAAAACACAATACAATGAATGTTTTCATCAAATTGCACCGATTCTAAGCTTGGTTATACTTATTTTAGTTACTCTTACTCTTACTTGACCAAGTACCAGACTAATCTACCACCCAGTAGTTAACCTGTCAAAACAATTGTATACTCCGGAGTCAAACTTCGGTAATACATTTAAACGTTGGCAATGATATGATATGCATGAGATGTTTTCTCTTTAAATGTATGTTATGAAGTAACTATACACAAAATTAATGTTCTGTCTTACGGCCAATAAAACTGATTAATGCAGTATTACTTAATATTTTTTTATCCTATATTCGTACACTATTTTTTGCTATGTAGGCATTTCAATAGAAAATTGTTTCAAATGTCAGTGTGTTTTGTGTTGATTTGCAGAATATGTAGATGCCGTTCTCCAAAAAAAGCGTTTTTCATGTTGAATGTGGTATCGTGTACAATACGTATTTTGTACACATATACTCGACAAAAACGACTTTGTGAAAAGTTCCATTTTTGGAATATTTAGTTTTAGTGATAAAAAGTCATTTGTTGAATAAGACGGTATAATAAACCCAAATAAGTTAGTTATATTAATATTGCTATTTGCTATTCTAACTAGAAAAAAAAAAAAAAAAAATATATATAATACGAAAATGATTGTTACTTTAATACTGGTTATTTCATGTTGGTTTAGCAATTTATTGTATTGAACTAATAAATATTATCCTATATTTTCCATTATTTGCAATCCGTGTTTTTAGGTCCATTTTTAAAGGTCGTAGGGCTGAGAAATGTACACAGTTCTTATGCAGCTATCACTAACCTGTCAATACTTGTAGACGGGTGTGAGTTCGAACCCCGCACGTGGCAGGTGCGTTTAACTCCGATCTTAATTGACTACGACTGTCAGATGTCCTGCCGAAAGTCGGTGGTTTTTTATTGGCACTCTTGCTTTTAAAAATAATGCAACATGGCCCACATGTAATGACAAGAGTGTTGAAACTGGGATTAAGAACCAACAATCAATTATTAATCAATCTATCTAGAAGGTCCCTCTTAGAAATCATTTTCGAAAGCTTTCATCTAATATCTTAATATGGGTACATACTTTTGCACAAAACATTTAGTTTGACTGTTATATTATGTGAATTTGTTAAACAATTCTTACCCGATTTATAATTTTTCCGACTAGTTAATTGATACTAACCAGTGGATATTACCATACGGAGGAATATTACCACAGCCAGTCTTTAATTTCTTATTTCTATACACTTAACATTTCAGATTCATTATTAAGAACTTTATTCTTCTGTCGTTGTGTATATATTTTGATTCTAACTGCTGCTTTTACTCCTTTAGTTTCTGAACATCTTTTTTAACTGTTTGTAAATGTAATATTACAAACAGAAGCATAAATATGAAAAAGCAAAAGAATGGACAAAACTTACAATGGAAGGCGAAAGAGATACCAGAGGGACATTCAACATGTTCAAACTCAAAAGTCGAAAATTAACTGACAACGCCATGGCTAAACAAGAAAAAAAAGGCAATCAGGCAAAATATAATACACAAAACATAACAAAGAAATCTAAAGACTGAGCAACACGACCCAATCAATAACTGGGGGTGATCTTAGGTAATCCGGAATGGTTAATAAAATATTGACTTCTGATTAGATTATGTATTATTATTTTACATATTCATGAAATTGTAACCTGATAACACATACAAAAATATATCTAATACTTTTCTTACTTAAATAAAGGACATCAATTCACAAAATTTTTTTTTTATTTTGTGATGTTAATTATTCAAATCATGGTCATGTGAAAGCAACGAAAATGATACATAGGGGGGAAATTCTAATATGACGACCGATATATCGTCAACCAGTATAATCACAGTATATCTACTTTTAGCACAAGCGCATAAATACACAAAACTGGCTGTTCCGCGTTACGCCCAACTTATTTATACTACCAGGTATTCTCAGTTTGCGACATCAAAATCCACAGTTTACGTAGTCCAAGATTCAGATACAATATTGTTATCTCTATTTTAAAGGAAAATAAACAAATCGGTCCATTTCAATTTATTTTTAGGTGTAAAATTTCATAAAACGAAAATTCCGCGAAATGATGTCATCGTCTTTGCATGGCCACTAAACAAGGTGACGTCATATGTATGCTTCCGGCATCAAATGTAAACACCGGGCGTTTTAAGGCAATCTCCGTACAGCGCTCGTTTCCGTTCCGTATACTCAGTACACTACACTACAATGACAATCTCCGTACAGCGCTCGTTTCCGTTTCGTATACTCAGTACACTACACTTCAATGACACATTTAGTGTAGTGATACGAAGTAAGTACGGAACGGATGTGAGCTCTGCGCCGGAGATTGTCATATTTAGTGTAGTGATACGAAGTAAGTATGGAACGGATGTGAGCTCTGCGCCGGAGATTGTCATATTTAGTGTAGTGATACGAAGTAAGTACGGAACGGATGTGAGCTCTGCGCCGGAGATTGGTTTTAAGGATGTTCGCTCCTCTTGTTTTTGAATGTTTGCGAGATATTCGGAATCCTCTGGTTTTATCCATGTAGTGCCATTAAAAATTTTGACCACTAGCCCCTACTTTTCTTTCAAGAATTTGAATACATATAGTTTAAAATGTCATCTTTGAAAATCTTATAAAATCCTTGTTAGTTTTTCATCGTTTTTGAAAAAAAAGGTGCCAATGTTAAATGTATGAAAAATCTAGAGAGAATTATTTCCAAGTTTTCAATGGCTTATATCTCGAAAACAAGCACACGGACCCTTCACTTTTTTCTGCTTTTTTAGTTTCTTTATTTATATACTATCAATTTATAACGATCTTTTAAAAAGCTTGCTATTTTGAAACATCCTTAAAGCTTCTTGAACGCCTCAGAATGCAATAATATAACATTAAAACAACATATTTCAGGTGAAAAATGTGCATTTCTAAAATTTATTATTGAATAATATAATATTACTAATATTATCAGATGGGGGTAAAACGGAACAGCCAGTATCTTGTGTATATATAGGGCTTTTTCACGGTTAACAAAATTACCGAATTCGTCTTATTATAATCGAAATTATTTTCATGGCAGCCGTAGATTTGTTTTCATTCAACCATGGGTTGGGCATTTATATTCGTATTTTACCCTTCGCTGTCGCTCAGGACAAACTAATCGAGTATTAATTACCAACCTACGGTTAAATGAAAACAAATCTACGGCTGACATGAATTATTTCATAAATCAAAGAAATCAAAGTCATATGTCGAAAAGAAAAATTACAATGCCATGGATTAGACAGTTAAAAACGACAGAAATAAAAACAACAGTATAAAATACACAAAACTACAGGTTGAGCACCACGAACCCCACCAAAACCGAGATAGATCTCAGATGTTCCGGAAGACCGAATGTTTTTTTTGTATACTTGGGGAAGACAAAGAGACTTTCATATCTACCTTGTTTCCAATGTTTTCAATTCTGATAGTTTTTCCTGGAGAGTATACTTCAGTTCTTTTTTTTCTTTGTGCAATGATGAGTTTTCTCTGTTATTCTCTTCAAACCTAAACATTATTATTCGAATAAACATTAAAATAATTCCTTGAATACTGCTTACAAATTGATGAACTATGTCGTCTGTGCTGCAATTAGTAGAATATGTTTCTTTGCAAAATACTTCATATTTATCCTGAAAACGTATTCAATATGAATGAAAAATAAACTATTTAACAAAGAACATCTATACAACGATATCTGTATACGACATGTAAAGTTCTATTTGAATGTAGGGTTATTGTCAATGTTCTGTGTATGCCATGGATCATTTTTCCATCCTCTCTGTTCTTTATCCATTTATGAATGTCTTTTAAATAAGAAAGTTGAATACAAATTTGTAAAGGGTCACTCGCCTGTGATTACTGCTGTCAATGAAAAAGTGAAATGTTGATTGACAAAAATAATGAGTTCACTTATCAGTAAAATACAGATAATTAAGCATGGTTTTCAGATTCTATTTCTTTATCTCGAAAAAGCTTGTTTTAAAGATTACAAAACACTACATGAAAGATTAACTAAGTCAGTGATGTCTATAAAAAAAATGAACCAAGGATTGTAACAAAATATTATTTGCGAAAAAGTAAGTCTTTTTATCATTAAGATACGGAAAATAGAAATTAAACAATTCCAAATTTTACTCGATTATTTAAAAGCTCTGAGATATGTAACAGGCCCTAAAGGCAAAACGGTTAATGAAATTTTATGAATCTTGGGTAGAGCAGGTCCGTTAAGGTCTTTTTATTTCTCCGTTCAGGACCAGGTTTTGGCATCATAAAATTAGTTTTTTTATTTAAAATATTTTATTTGTTATAACAAATGGATCTGTACCTTAATAAGATTGGTACGTGAAGAAAATCCATAAAAAAAAAAAAAAAGAATTTTAGTTTGAACAAATCTAGTCGTTTATCTTCAGTTTTATTCGGGTCTTTTCAGGTCAACGTTCAAGTCTTTAGTGTAACCCATACTTATTTATTTATCATTTGTAACATATGAATATGCCATTGAAAATAAAGAACATAAAACTGTTTTACAAATAATATCGGAATCAAAATAAACAAAGTTAGTTAGAAAATTTATTGTTTTATATTCAAACTTTAAGATTTAAAATCATTCTATCAAGAAAAAAGTGCATTTTACAAATAGACAGAAAAGTAAACACACTTTTATTGAGTGCACATACAAGTGAAGATTACTACTGACTAAACGGACACAGAATTAACGCGCGTTTAATCGAGTAGACAATAGATATTTCCTTTTTGACTGTTTTAACGTAATTATAGTAAACGCGCGTTTACTAATAAAGGCACAAATTGTAGCTAACACGTTAAGTATATGCACGCAAAGGTAACGTGCGTTTACGTTTTGTTATGCTTGATCTGCATCCAACCGTATGATGATTAGTTTTAAATGATTAATATTAATTATTGCTATTTTCTAACATTTTTCTAATCTTTTTGTGAAATTTTTTCATATCATGTTATTCTATTGATATGGGATTTTCTCAGTCGTTTTAATAAACTCATCATAGACAACAGGATTAAAAGTTTGTATGCTAGACACACGTTTCTTTTAAAGTTAATTCATGACGTCAAAATCCTAATACATTCGGGTTGTCTAGATAAACAGCGATAAGTAGATTATACATGGTCTTAAAACTCTAGGATGTTTTTCGGCTACACCTCTTCTAAGGCCTGTTGCCCTTTGTTGAGATTGTATAACTGAGAAAAAAGCATCAATAATCTATAAATACATTCTTATGAAATAGTTACTCGGATTTAAAAATAAAAAACCTATCTAAGTCTGTGTAGTAGACAACCGTTATCTCTGTATCACCAACGACCTGTTTGCTTAATAAAGTGTTACGGATTTCAATCCCTGAAGACACAAATTCAAATGTAGGAAAACTCTGAACTTTTCTTCGTTATAGAATGTAAACAAATGACTGGAAACCGATCACAGATGAGTTGTGCTATTGATTTGAAATATCTTCTATTGTCATTTTAGTCATGCCTACGCAAACAGTGTTCATTTCTTGAATTACAGATAGAAGAATGATGGGAAAAATAACATCAATTTCTTTACTATTGCTAATTAGTCTGGCTATTATTTATTACATGCTTTTGTGCTAATATTGTCGTTGCTTCTTGAGACTTTTATTGTCTACAAACGCACATAACAACACAATTGCATATACAACAGACAAATAAGTTAGGTCCAAACTTCATCAAAAGCACAAACATGTTATAACAAATTTGTCAGAGTTCAATTAGAGTAAATTCATTGGTTTTATAGTAGAAAACATAGGCCAGGTGACAATTAGTTTCATGCCTAGAACAAACTATCTTTTAGTGGACATTAATTTATGTAATCAAATTAAAAAAAAAATATCACAACATAAAACAGAGCCATGGGGTGAGAAAAATAATTATATAATGAGAATAAAAAGCTTTTTAAAGTCTAAATTCTACCATCAGAGACATATACAGCCACCTCTAATAACAAATACTTAAATATGTGTAATAATGAAGAATTCAAAAAAAAATAATTACCATGTTGACCTAATATATCAATCCTCAACAAATGCAGGTACATGCAGCTAAACAAATGTAAGAATAAAATGGACTAAATCATCATGAATAGAAATTAATGTAGTAAACTGGATGCAGATTGAACAACCATATATGGAACAACTAATGAAAGATTGGTTGAAGTTGAACAGGGCATGAACACAAACAATATAATATTATGATGTGATATCATCTTCATTCTTTTTCAATTACACCTAAAAATAAAGATCTGACTCTGTTCAAACTTTTTTTCATCTGTCTTTTATTTATGATTTATCAAATCTTTATTTGTACTGTAATTTATACTGGAGTCATTTTATTGAAGACAAATCCTGACATGTTCAACATATCACAATAATTAAACTTGTACATGTTGTACTTCCCAAAAAAAGAATGCCATCATCAAGGGATATTACTGGGAGGCTTATATACATATTCGTATATGCATAGTGTGCTGAATTCAGAATATCTGTGTGATTTATAAGAAAGTAGATAACTGGTTGTTCACATTTTGTAATTTTGTGTAAGGAAAGACATCAGTGAGGCACGAAAATGGAAAAAGTAAATCACAAAGAAATAACAGATTTTATTCATTTCAATGACATGTTGACGGTCCTTTCTTCCGTGACAAGTTTGTCATATTTCTGAGCTGTGTTGGTCAACAGCAGAGAAGTTTTAAGAAAAAAATAATAGGAGGTCCCTGCACTGGCTGCAAGGCCTTACCAAATTGTGATGTGACGTAAAATGTTGCTCGTTAATACACAACGAATGGTAAAGTCATGTTACTACCCCAGTTCTGTTGTCCATGTTCCAGTTTATCAAAATAAACTAGTCACAGATATAAGAAGATGTGGACGATGTTTCCAGAATGAAAATGACGATGGAAATTTGTATAAATTCTGTAGTTTTTATCGTTTTCATGAAAACGGTACTTAATATGACGTAATTGTGACGTCATCAGATAAAAATATATTATGTTTTTCAATGATATTTCTGACTCTATGCATTTCAATACAATATGTGAAAATTTGAAATAGTTGTCAAATATTTTATTTTGTTGGGCCAAAACCGGGCCTTAATGCCCTTACTCCTTTACTTTGCATAACTCAAGAAAATCCATTATATTCTTAAATCCGTAAAATTTATATATATATATGAATATCTAGGAGATACAAATAACAGCCTACCTCAAGAATGTAACAGTACAGGTACAGATGGGTGCGGTCCTAACCTGTACAAAAGTTAACTTTGAGCAGACTTGTTGACTGCTTTTCAAGTTAACTTGGGAAATTTTAAGCAGACAAACAAGTTAACTTTGTCGTTGGTAGACCAGACCTACTGTCTGCTTTTTTAGGATGCTGCAGACCTATTGACAGGTCTGCTCTAGACCAGACCTGTGAACAAGTCTGCTTTTGACCAGTCCTGAGGACAGGTCTGCCCCAGACCAGACCTGTTGACAGGTCTTCTCCAGACCAGACCTGTGGACAGGTCTGCTTCTGACCAGACCTGTGGACAAGTCTGCTATTGACCAGACCTGGGAACAGGTCATTTTATGACAGATTACCGTGTTTAAGACTTTTGATATCAGATCTGGGCTTTTAATATGTAAACAATAATCGCATTATTCTTTTTTCCCAGTCTGTCAAATTTCTTTACTCGTTAGACTCTATCGATATTATACACATTAAAAAAAAATCTTTTTTTTTCATTTCATACTCTTATATTCATTAAACAATGGCTATAAAATTACACACTTGTGATCACATACAGCTATCGTTAAAGAAAGGAAAGTTTTTATTTAATTAGAAGGCGGATAGAAAGGTTATTCAACGCATCAGAACAATATTTTTATGTCATGGGATATCAACATCATTGTCGACGTTGCTTCGTTCCCCATTTTTTACAGTCTCTTCCTAAATTTAACTTTATGCATTACATGGATATTTCATCGTAATTCACCTTGTTTGCCTTGGATTTATGATTCTGTTTTTCGACAAAATATTCTAACGAAAATCGTACAGTCTCCAGATACATAAGGTGTTGAATAATTATGAACAATCTCCGGTCCTACTAAAAGTCCGGGAGCGTCCGGGAAAAGAAAAAGCGCCCGGGGAAGAAAAAAGCGCCCCGGAGAATTAATAATAATATTTTATAACAATATTAGGATTGTGTATCCCCCAGTTAACGGCATTGGTGATCTTGCGTTTATTACTCTGAATACCACATGTTTACCATCAAATGAAACAGATAAAACCTTTTATGTTATGTGGACAAGTTATAAAATTAATATTTATCTGTGAAATTTATGTTGTTTTTGCATTTTCATTTTGATATCGTTTTTGATGTCTAACATTTTATAAACCTTCAGCATAAACTGATCCATTATTATCTGTCTTTATAAATAGTATCCATATATTATTGTTAAAATTGAAACATTCATA